ATTTCAAAATCAAGCTCTGAAGCAGGTCTATCCAGTCTTAAAGAATGATGGTGAACATTATGAAAGTCTCCTTATTTTGGTGATCCTTCAAATAATATTGCTCGTTTTTCAAAAAAACAAGGAATTGGACGAAGCCTACAGAACAAATGATAATTTGAGTGAATTCATCGAAAACAATAAAGATAAACCTACAGTATCGGATAGATCGGGAGTATATAAGTTGAATGTAACTGTTGTTGTTTCCCAACACCAAATCATGATTTTAACACCTTGACACGTGTTTGGATCACCAAGTGATCATCTTCAAGAGTGAGATCAAACAAATCATACTTACAAAGCTATCCCTATTTAGTGAGTGTCTTAAATTAATTTTACATACAATTTGCCTTTACAATGTGCAAAACTAATTCAAGACAAGTTGTAAAATCAATTTAAGACAATCAAAACGCAGGTACCTGGAACACGTATCCATGGTATAAATAGGGATAGCTTTGTAAGTATGATTAGTTTGATTTTTCTCTTGAAGATGTTCGCTTGGTGATCGAAACACGTGTCGAGGTGTTGAAAATAACGATTTGGTGTTGGGAAAAAACTCCAGTAATATTAATTACTACACCAAAGGTTCGAAACAGTGCATCACAAAAAGACTGATAGATTCATAGACTTATAGAGATTTATAGAGTTTTATAACGATTATGACGTATTGCATTTGGAAGAGGAAGATTCAAAACTCAACCTTTTGGAATGCCTAGAAATCAATAGATTTGAAAATTCGGGGTTATTGATGAAATGATCAAATAGATTATGTGGTCCTCAGGGTCATTGTTTTTCGAATTTGAAAGCCGTGGATTTTTGAAATTCCTTCCTGACGTTTCGCTGGCGCGAGTGGTTAGCTTCTTCAGAGGTTTAACCCATCATGGCTTGCTGTCCGATGACTACCTTTTAGACTTCGTGAAGCGTATTTATGCCTTGTCAGGTAATCAGTTGTATTTGTACCTGAATTTGTACCTGTATTCGTACCTGCACTTGAACCTGGAACATTAATAATCTTGCTGCCTGTTGTCCTGTTCGTTATTCTCGATTTCCTTAAAATGGGGNGTTGTGCGGTTGGGAATCGCGCACACTGTACCCTATTATCATTTTTCAATCCATATGTCGGTTTGATGGTCCTGATTATCAAAATCAAAATATCAAAGTCCAAATTAGTTTTCTTTCATAATGAAATCACAACCTTTTTTCCACACTTGAAACTGATTAATGAGTACTTGAATTTTAGAATGATAACCCGAAATCTGGAAAGGTCGTTTTTCAAATTATTTCGAAATATGCGTAAAACTATAAGTGCCTATTTCGGTTTCAAGGGCGAATCTTTCGAAATAAGCAAGGTTGATACCGGGGACATAACGAAAATATACTGTAACTCCGGAGTAATATACTGCTGCTGATGGAATTGCAACTGGTTCAGTTTTTTATAAGAGCTTCATTTCATAGCGTAAAACAACCCCTGAGAAGTCCCAGCAAATCATAGTAGATTTTTTTGATTGATGACAAAGTTTAAATTATAGAATTAGTATCGCCATGGTCCTTTTCAATAAAAAAAGTAGTTTATCGGGCTCAAAACCTCTCGAAATCTTCAAAAGCAAACTAAACTTCTCTGGAGAGGTAAAATACTTTGGTACTACTCTCGGCAGGAAGCTAACATGGCAGTCTTACCTACAGGGAAGATCAAAAATAGCATATGTGGCTTATAAGCAATGTCGGAGGTTAGTGGGACGCACATGGGGTCTTTCACCCCGTGTGGTCACCTGGATCTACACTGCAATAATAAAACCTACGATAACGTAAAGGTTATCGCATTGTCGACTCTTTATCCAAAGAAGCAGCTGGACTAAGTATTTTAGGACCCAGTGACACATACGGCCTGATGACTTCGACAATTACGGAACTAGCCAAACGGCTCGTCTTGGCCTACACCTGCCGATATAAAGGAGATGTTCATCTTTCTGGAAAGGACAGGATGTACGATGACCTAGGAGGACATCTCCTCGGGATGATGAACAATAGGTCACATGTGGCCTAAGTGCTGAGGGCCTACACTCACCTTCCCTACTCTACAGATACAGAGAGTATCGCCATTCAAAGATGTACCTGATGCCACATCAGTATTGGGTACTCTTCCGTTTAGTCAAAAATTCATGAACCCACAAATCAAATAAAAATTTCCTATTATTCACCCAAAATGGAGTGAACAAATCGACCATTTTCCGAATTTCTCAGAAGTTGCAGAGAAATACGAATACATTCTGAAATTATTATTTTCTCAAAATATTGAGAGATCTACCATATATCTATCCAATTCAGTTTCTAGTAGTTCAGCTTCAAATTCCTTATCCCGCTGCTCCAATGTAGGGAAGACTCATCGCATCCGTGATTATCCAGAAGAAGGCAGTAGTAGTGAAAGTAGTAGCCTTATAGTTGAAAAATATTGGCAACACCTGTTTCATGAACAGTGTAATCTAGATTTTTACTTCCCTTAATACAACCATTACAAGGGAATACATCGTCTTTTGTGAAGAATTCAAGGCATTTTGTCGAACTACTAGGGTCAATTGAGGTCACACAGGAAGATCNACCTTTGGTGTAGTAATGAATATTACTGGAGTTTTTTCCCAACACCAAACCGTTATTTTAACACCTCGACACGTGTTTCGATCACCAAGTGATCATCTTCAAGAGAAAGATTGAACTAAATATACTTACTATGTTCTCCTTATTCATACCATAGATACCTCTTCTAGGTCTTTCTTGTACACTAGTAGATAAATCAATTTAAGACGCTTAAAACACAGGTACCTAGAAGAGGTATCTATGGTATAAATGAGGATGAAATTGTAAGTATATTCAGTTTAATCTTCTTTTGATCGAAACATGTGTCAAGGTGTTAAAATAACGGTTTGGTGTTAGAAAAAATATCCAGTAATATTCAGTAGCATTTATAGTATGGAGGATAAATCTGTTGTATTAATAATAAGCAAATAAATTGATTGATTGATTGATTGAAAGCGTTCGCAAAAGTTATCAAGAAATGGTGGTCAGAAGATTCATCTGATAGAATAATGAATATACAGTCTCCTTGAAGAGTAAGATTTAAAGATTAACCCCTTGATTAATTAGTCATGCGCATCAAGACACCCAAAAGTTCCTTTCGTTATCTGTTAGAAAGTTTACATTAGGACGTTAATATAATTAATGACAAACCTAAACCACAAAACAGATGTTTGAAGGTGGTTGACAATGTTTCGTGGTGTATTTCATCAGTTCGGACTTCCATTGTCTAATATAATATGAATTGATTTGATAACCCTGAAAGAAATCAAAAAGATCAACCGAAAATAACAATTTTATTAAAGAAAAAACTGAAATTATTGGTGAAGAGGACCAACACTAAATGGAAAACATCTGTATATCGAAAACCCACTCACACAGGACAGTATCTGAACCAGAAATCCAACCACCATCAATCGACTAAGAGAGGAATCATTAAGACTCTACTGGGCCGTGCTTTTGGGTTCTGTAATATAAAGGAAGGTCTCGAAAAGGAACTAGGCATCATCAAAAATTACCTTCAACGGAATGGTTACTCCAAAATGATGGTAGAACAGGCCTTAGCTAGAAGACAGCAAGAACTCCAAAAGGAATAGAGCCGCCACAACCAGTACTTGTACTGGTTGTGACCTATATCAGAGGATTATCGGAAAGAATAAAACGGATTGGGTCCAAGTATAATATCAGGCCTGCTTCAGATCTGGGAACACTATCCGTAGCAGCCTCACGAAAACCAGGCCACCAAACGCAGACTGCGATTCCAAGAATTACATTTACCGGATACCCTGCGAGTGCGGAGAATCATACATCGGTGAAACTAAGAGGCCATTGAAAGTTCGCATTGCTGCATTCAAAGAAGCTGCATATATGTTGTCCAACAAGTCATTTAGTCAAGCTAGCGTAGAGATACGTAACATATGGAAACCTCTAATCAAGCGAAAAACGACCAACTCCCGCCAAACGGTCATCTCCCGCCAAAATCAATGAAGCGGAAAGAGTGAAGGGGGATAGGTGAAAGCACTCGAATGACCTATAAATAGTCAGATCTCGGAGTAACACGTGTCGAGGTGTTGAAAATAACGATTTGGTGTTGGGAAAAAACTCCAGTAATATTAATTACTACACCAAAGGTTCGAAACAGTGCATCACAAAAAGACTGATAGATTCATAGACTTATAGAGATTTATAGAGTTTTATAACGATTATGGCGTATTGCATTTGGAAGAGGAAGATGCAAAACTCAATGCTTAGAAATCAATAAATTTGAAAATTCGGGGTTATTGATGAAATGATCAAATAGATTATGTGGTCCTCAGTGTCATTTTTTTTCGAATTTGAAAGCCGTGGATTTATGAAATTCCTTCCTGACGTTTTGCTGGTGCGAGTGGTTAGCTTCTTCAGAGGTTTAACCATCATGGCTTGCTGTCCGATGACTACCTTTTAGACTTCGGGAAGCGTATTTATGCCTTGTCAGGTAATCAGTTGTATTTGTACCTGAATTTGTACCTGTATTTGTACCTGTACTTGTACCTGCACCTGTACCTTGCACTTTTACTTGCACTTGTACCTGTACTAGTACCTACACTCGAACCTGGAACATTAACAATCTTCCAGGTTCAAGTGTAGGTACGAGTACAGGAACAAGTGCGGGTACAAGTTCAGGTACAACCACAGGTGCAAATACAGATACAAATACAACTGATTACCTGACATGGCATAAATACGCTTCACGAAGCCTAAAAGGTAGTCATCGGACAGCAAGCCGTGATGGTGAAGAAGCTAGCCACTCGTGCCAACGTCAGGAAGAAATTCCAAAAATCCACGGCTTTCAAATTCGAATAGCAATAACACTGAAAATCTCAGCCGTGAAAGTCTAAACCATTTTGTCAGATGATGTGGTGCTGCAGATTTTTCTGGGTTTTCCTGCAGCTGCCAAGGCAAATGCGCCACTGGAATCAATAAAGTCGCCCCGGAGCGCCAATTATTTTTGTTGTTGTTTTATAATTTCATGATTTGTATTTTGAATATTCTTAATATCTTACATTAAAAACTGTAAATCTATAAGATTTGAATTATTCCTCTTTATTGAATTCAGTTTGCAATGAGAAAATTGGTAATTAGGATAGATACCAAAATTAGGTAAAATGATAGCTCATGTATTCACTATTCTTCAGTTTCATGAGTTGTTCCTAGAAAGATGATTAGTTTATGTAATGAACGTGTAGTGTAATGAATCATGTAGAAATTTCTCAGGTAATAATAATCATAACACTACACAACAAAATCGAACTTTTTTTTGTTGCATGGGATTTTTCAGTAATTTAGGTTCGCTCATTTTAAATCTTCTCTTAGATTTCTTCTAGCAGTTCTAGTTTAGAAGATACAGGTACTCCCTTGAAATGTACTCTCTATTTGACTGTTGATATCGCAGTCGTCAACGTCTTACTAGTTTTTTTTGCATAGCTTCGTCCAGAAGGACCTGTGTTACAATCCAGTTTGCGCCACATTTGTGGCGAATATACATTAAATGTGTCGAATTTCGTGAAAAATGCCTACATGGAGTACTTTCATCGGCCATTGGAAACAAACAACATGTCCTGAATAACGAATATAGTGTGTAAAACATGTGTGTGGTCTTTACGATTATGAAAAACTGAAAGAGGAATCCCACTGTCCGTTCAACTGATATATTAGAACCCCAATCAAGTACATCTCAGGTACGTTCGCAGGAAATTGTTCAACCAACGAAACTATTTAGTGGAAATCTCACAATGAAATATATCTGGAATATTTTACTTCACTCCAAAGCATCGATTCAAGCCAAACGTTTTTAAAATTGAATTGAATTTTCAAATGAAGTCAAAAAAAGTGTAAATCTCATTGTGAAAACTCACCTTTGTATTGAGAACAACAGACTGAAACTATGACCCATTTACCATTTTGGTGGCCTTTTTATAGCAACTATTTCAATCCACTTTACTTATAATAGTTATTGTTTGCAAATCTCCTCACAAAGCTATCTGTTCTGAAACCACTTCAGATTTTTAATCCCAGTGTTTATTTTTGACGGAGGTTTTTCGAATTGGGAAACTCCATTGCTCATCATTAGTATATTTGCGTGGCGTTAGATATCAATTCAAGAAAAATATTTCTACTTCGCATTTTGATTTTATTGAATTATGAAAACTATCTCCAGCATAGAGAGTTATTCAAGATTATTGGGTTATTATTTAGGAATTAAAATGCATAGGATTTTCACACTAGAATGAACAAAAATATATATATGAATTTATCTGAAATAACACCAATTTACTGAGGGAATGTGTAAAACATTCTGGAACTCACGAATCATTGC